AGGATTCCTGCAGGTAGATTCCTGGAAGTGGACTTGCCCAGACGAGGGCTGTGTTCACATCACGGAGCGATGGATACCATCAGCCCTCCTCTGAGAAACTCACAGCCACAGGTGTGACCTCTGACCTCTGTTAAAGCTCAGTCTGCTGCTGCGAGAAAGTGTGTTCCTCCTCCCTAAAAATCAGTAGGAAAATATCCTCAGGTGAGGATTAACAGAGAGAGGGGGGGGGAGGGAGAGTGGGAGTGAAAGAGAGAGAGAGGAGAGAGAGAGAGAAGAGAGAGAGAGAGAGAGAGAGAGGAGAGAGAGAGAGAGAGAGGAGAGAGAGAGAGAGGAGGGAGAGAGAGAGAGAGAGAGAGAGAGAGAGAGAGAGAGAGGAGAGAGAGAGAGAGGAGAGAGAGAGAGAGAGAGAGAGAGAGAGAGAGAGGGAGGAGGATAGGACTGTTGCGATGGAGACTCTCCTCCCCACGGCGCTGCTGGGCGGGGAGGAAAGTCAGGAACTGAAGGGAGCCTTGCTGCTGTGGCTCAGGTGGTGGGGTGTCGTCTCTTGCATCCAAGGGTCACAAGTTCAACTCCCAGGCAGGCACATGCCCAGGTTGCAGCCCTGGTGAGGGGCGTGCAGGAGGAGCCAATGGAGGTGCCCTCCCACATTGATGCTTCTCTCCCTTCCCCTCTCTCTAAAAATGATCAAACTATTCTAAAAAATTATAAAAAGGAAGGAAGAAAGGAAGGAAGGGAAGAAGGAAGAGAGAGAGGAAAGAAAGAAAGAAAGAAAGAAAGAAAGAAAGAAAGAAAGAAAGAAGAAAGAAAGAAAGAAAGAAAGAAAGAAAGAAAAGAAGAAAGAAAGAAAAGAAGAAAGGAAAAGGAAGGGAAGGAAGGAGGAAGGAAGGAAGAAGGAAGGAAGGAAAGGAAGAAGAAAGAAAAGGAAGGAAGGAAGAAAGAAAAGCAAGCCAGCCGAAGCCAGTTTGGCTCAGTGGTAGAGAGTTGGTCTGAGGACTGAAAGGTCCCAGGTTCGATTCCGGGCAAGGGCATGTACATTGGTTGCGGGCACATCCCTGGTAGGGGGTGTGCAAGAGGCAGCTGGTCGATGTTTCTCTCTCATCAACATTTCTAGCTCCTTATCCCTCTCCCTTCCTCTCTGTGGAAAATCAATAAAATGTATTTTTTTTAAAAAAAGAAGAAAAGAAAGAGAGAGAAAGAAAGCTGTAAACCACCAACCCCGAGGGTGGAGAGTTTGCCAAGGTCAGGAAGCCTTGGTATGTGAAGGTCACTCATCAAAGGGCTGTTGGCACTTTTGTCATTTCTTTTTTTCTTTCTTTTTTTTAAGTTTTGAAAGTGGAAGCTTTATTTTTATTTATTTATTTATTTATTTATTTATTTAAATATATTTTATTAATTTTTTTACAGAGAGGAAGGGAGAGAGATAGAGAGCCAGAAACGTCGATGAGAGAGAAATATTGACCAGCCGCCTCCTGCACACCCCCCACCAGGGATGTGCCTGCAACCAAGGTACATGCTTTGACCGGAATCGAACCTGGGAGCTTTCAGTCCGCAGACCGACGCTCTACCACTGAGCTAAACTGAGCTAAACTGGTTTCGGCTATGGCATTTCTTTTATGGCACTTTTTTTTTTTTTTAATATATTTTATTGATTTTTGTACAGAGAGGAAGGGAGAGAGATAGAGAGTTAGAAACATCGATGAGAGAGAGTCATCGATCAGCTGCCTCTTGCACACCCCCTACTGGGGATATGCCCGCAACCAAGGTACGTGCCCTTGACCAGAATCGAACCCGGGACCTTTCAGTCCCCAAGCCAACGCTCTATCCATTGAGCCAAACCAGTTTCGGCCTTTTATGGCACTTTTATGGCACTTTTATGGCATGTTATGGCAGGGTCGTTTCAGAGATGGAGGAGGTTTACAGATAGTAACCTGGGCTCCCGGGTTGTGTTGCTGATTGTTTGTTTACAAACAGCGCAGCAGGGGGGTAAGGAACCCAGGTCTGTGCGGGGCAGCCTGTGGACAAGGCCGTTCCTGGGCAGGGCGGGCGGAGGGAGGGCAGCGGCCGCACCTGCTGGGACGGGGCGGCCGGCGGCGGGAGCATCGCAGGGGAGAGCGGGCACGTCTGTGGAGGGAAAGGCCTCCCGCGCGGGGAGGCTGGTGAGTGGTGGGCGTGCGACCACCACGCCCGGTCTCGGCCTCGGCCTCGGCCGCTGACCGTCCGGCAAGCCTGCCGGGCGGACACTATCGTCACCCTCCCCTCCTCGCACAGATAAAGGGGTGAGGCCACCTGTCCCGCCAGCCCCGGCGCCAGGTCTCAGCCAGGACCCGGGGCATCACCGCCCTCTGCCCAGCCGCCGGGCACCAGCGGAAACCCAAAGCGGCTGTTTTTTCTGAATTTCTTGTGGGTGGGACCAACCGTCCCATTTGTCTCCGCCTCCCAGCCAGCGGAGGGGCCTGGCCAGGGCAGGGCCAGCGGTCCTCTCTCCGGGAAAGCACTGTCTCAATGCGCTTCGAACATTCAGTCTTGTCTTTGCTCCCAGAGTCCCCTCGTGTGACGCAAACGTAAGAACTAGTGGGTGTGGCTCAGTGGATAGAGCGCCGGCCTGCGGACTGAGAGGTTCCAGGTTCGATTCCGGTCAAGGGCATGTACCTTGGTTGCGGGCACATCCCCAGTAGGGGGTGTGCAGGAGGCAGCTGATTGATGTTTCTCTCTCATCGATGTTTCTAACTCTGTCCCTCTCCCTTCCTCTCTGTAAAACATCAATTATATATATATATATATATATATATATATATATATATATATACACACACACACACACACACCTTGTTTCCCCGAAAATAAGACAGTGTCTTATATTAACTTTTTTTCCCAAAGTTGCACTAGGTCTTATTTTCAGGGGATGTCTTATTTTCGGGGAAACACGGTGTGTGTGTGTGTGTGTGTGTGTGTGTGTGTGTATATTTTTTTAAATTTTTTTTAAAGAAGAACTCAGAGGGAGCCCTAGCGGGTTTGGCTCAGGGGATAGAGTGTTTGCTGCCGGACCAAAGGGTCTGGGTTCGATTCCGGTCAAGGGCACCTACCTGGGTGGCAGGCTCCTCCCTGGCCCGGGCCCTGGTCGGGACTCATGCAGGAGCAACCGATGGATGTGTTTCTCTCACATGGATGTTTCTCTCTCTTTCCCTCTCTTTCCCACTCTCCCTAAAAATCAATGGGAAAATACTAGTACCCTCAGGAGAGGATTAACAAACAAACTAACAAACTAAGAATGTAGAGGGAGGAGGATGCCAGATTGTGTTTCATTTATGGGATCCAGTGGTTTCCAGATCTTATACTCCCAGTGCAGCCGTGTATCTTTACCTCCCAAATAGGTCGGAGTCAGGAAATTAAATTGCTTCCGGCATCCGGCTTGGCTGTGACCCACGAGTGGTTTGCCTGGCCCTCTGAGCTACAGGCTCTCAATAGAAAGAGGTCCCCCCGCCCCCCCGCCCTGCACCCCACCCCACCTCACCCTCCCCCAGCCCAGCCCTTGGTGTACAAAGGATGGAAGTTTCACATCAGAACACTCAGCAAACACCTACCTGAGACTCGGTAATGCCTGGATAAACACCCGCCTCCTTAGCAATCACAGGTGTGTGCAATTACAGGGAATTAAAATGAAACAGAACGGCGTCCTGCTGTCACTACCTGGGTCACTGCTGACACTTCCCGTAAAGACAGGTGGCATTTCCAGCTGCGCGGTCTGGGCGCTGGAAGTGGAGGCGCACCCAGGAGTCAGCCCGAGCAGCCGCTGTTTGCCAAGTGGGTTAGCACCCGGGCTTCTGGGCTGCCCTCGGAGCTTCAGCTCAATTATGGGCTAAAGGGTGGCTCGGGGAGGGTGCACCGTCTTCCTCCTGAACACAGCAGCTCACACCCATCGCCAGCTTTCCCTGGGCAGGGGCTGGCGTTCTCTATTTTTTATAAAAAGGTTTTTATTGACTTCGGAGAGGGAGGGAGAGGGAGAGCGTGACAGAAGCATCGATGGTGAGAGAGAATCCTCTGCCGCTGCCTCCTGCCCCGCCCTGGGGCAGCATTCTCTCACAGTGAGCGCTCTGGGGGCGTCCGCCATCGCAGGCGCCCGTGACCCCCTCTGTCTCTGGAGACTGACGTCCTTCTGTGCACAGGCTGGGCCCCGGGATGTCACCCATGGTATTACCCAGCCCCTGGCCAGGGATGGAGAAAAGGCCTAAGTGGGTAGAATCTCGGCCCCCAAAATGGGGCCTTGGGAGCTCAGAGAGCCGACAATCCCCAGAACCGGTGCGAGGGGTGGCTGTCCCCACGCCCCGGGGCTGAAGGCCGGCGAGAAAGAGAGAAGGAGCTGCTGCGGGGGACGAGCCCCGAGCCCGGGCCTGGGCCCTCCACCGGTCACTCCTCCCTCCCGGCTCAGGCCGCGCCTCGAGCGAACCTGGAAGGCAGGCCCGGTCCAAGGCCCTGGATTTCTTTCTTTTTCTTTTTTTTTTTTAAATATATTTTTTTGATTTTGTACAGAGAGGAAGGGAGAGAGCTAGAGAGCTAGAAACGTTGATGAGAGAGAAACATCGACCAGCTGCCTCTTGCACACCCCCCACTGGGGATGTGCCCGCAACCAACGTACATGCCCCTGACCGGAATCGAACCCGGGACCTTTCAGTCCGCAGGCCGACGCTCTACCACTGAGCCAAACCGGTTTCGGCAAGGCCCTGGATTTCAAAGTCACGGTTCGCAGCCCATCTTCTTTGAACAAGGTTGCTATTGTTCCCTGCACTTCATTTAAAATCAAAACACAAACAGCCCGAGGTCGGCTGAAGGGCACGGCCACCAGACCAAGCGCCAGCCCTCGGCCGCACACTCAGTCTTAGACCTCAGGCGGAGCAGTGCCCTGGGAGCCTCGGAGAACCCGCCGAGAGGGAGGGGGAGGGGGAACAACAACGAGAGAGAGCCACGGCCGCTGCCTCCTGCACGCCCACAGGATCCCCGCCGGGATGGAGCCGCAGCCCGGCCTGGGCCTGACCGGGAACCAGCTGTGACCTCCTGGCTCCTAGGCGGTGCTCCACCCGAGCCCCAGCCGGCAGGGTGCTCCACGGGGAGGCCCCAGAGGCCAGGCTTCCTCTCTGAGGGGGGAGGGTGCCGTTTCCTCCCAAAGGGCACTTCCCCTCATCAGACGTTCTCTGTCCCCAGGCAGCACAGACAGAGGACCACGGCCCTGGCGCCCCCCGTGCACAGGAGGGCCCCCACCCACGCAGGGTCCGCGCAGGAGAGCAGCACGCTGGACACGCACCCTGAGGCCACGGGCCACACGGAGGCCACGGGCCACACGGAGGCCACGGGCCACAAAGAGGCCACGGGCCACATCACGGCCAGAGCGCGCGGCACAGCCAGGACGGCACTGTTGAGGAGTCAGGGCACCACGGCGGGCACGCCGTTTCCGCGCAGTCGGGCTGGGGGGCCAGCCCCCCCTGGGACAGGGGCACCGCGGGTTCTGGGTGCGAGGACAAGCGGAGGGAGGAGGGACAGGAACGAGACGGCCAGGGCCGCGGGGACAGCACCGGCGCAGCCCCGGGCGCTCCCGGCAGGGACACCCCTGCCCCACAGCCGGGCCGAGGTGCTGACCCCCCCGGGAGCGGGGTCACCCGCGAGGAAAACCAAAGGCGGGACCCCGGCAAGGGCTGCCCCACGCGCCACCCCCTCCCGCAGCCCCACCACACGGACCACCTCCGGGCTGCGGGCCGCCAATTTCAAGGCCGAGCCCAAGTGGGACTTTGAGGAGCAGTACAGCATGGACGGGGGCAGCCTGCAGACGGTGAGTTTTGCCAGGACCCTGCCCTCCACCGCCGCCTCTGCCTCCACCGCCCCTCCCGGCACTCCGCCCACCGCGCCCTCGCCTCCCAGGCTCCGCTCCTGGGCTCGGCCTGGTGCCCCTTCCCCCACCCCCTGGGTCGCCCCATCCTTCCTGTGCCAACAGACAAGGATGCCCGACTTGGTGCTGGCCGGCGTGGCTCAGGGGTAGAGCTTTGCCCCACGAACCAGGAGGTCACGGTTCAATTCCCATGAAGGGCACAGGCCTGGGTTGCGGGCTCCATCCACAGTAGGGGGCTTGCAGGAGGCAGCCGATCCATGATTCTCTTTCATCATTGATGTTTCTATCTCTCTCCCTTTCCTGACCTCTCTGAGATCAATTATATATGTATACATTGTATATGTGTGTATATATAATGTATATATATGTAAATGTACATACATGTATGTGTAGATGTAGATGTATATATTGAAGAATGCCCAGCCAGGTGCCCAGGCTAGTGCCTGGGAATACCGTGTCTGCTGCAGAGAGTGGTCCCACCACCTCCCCTGGCTTCCCTCCCTGAGAGATCACACAGGAAACAAGTACCTCACACATAACTGCCCCCACACCCAGGCAGCACCCGGGCACCCCTCCCGCTGCCCCCTCCCCGCGCTGACAGAGGGGCCTGGCCTCCGGGCCCAGAGGGGGCTTACGGAGGTGGCGGGCCTGGGGGAGGCCTCCGGCCGGCCGGCTCCCCCCGCGCCCGCCGGCCATGCCCTCCGCCCGGCTGACCGCCCTGCCTCCAGAGCTGCCCGGACTCCGTGAAGGTGCGAGCCGCCAAGTCGCCCTGGCTGCAGCGCCTCTTCCTGCCCAACCTCACCCTCTTCCTGGACGCCCGGCACTTCAGCCCCAGCGAGTGGGCGCGCCTGGAGCACTTCGCACCGCCCTTTGGCTTCATGGAGCTCAACCGCTCCTGTGAGTGCGGGGCTGCCCCCGCCCCCGCCCCCGCGGCCCCCGGCTCTGACTGCCCCCCCGGCTCTGACTGCCCCCCCGGGCTCTGACTGCCCCCCCCGGCTCTGACTGCCCCCCCGGGCTCTGACTGCCCCCCCCGGCTCTGACTGCCCCCCCGGGCTCTGACTGCCCCCCCCGGCTCTGACTGCCCCCCCCCGGCTCTGACTGCCCCCCTGGGCTCTGACTGCCCCCCCCGGCTCTGACTGCCCCCCCCCGGCTCTGACTGCCCACCCCGGCTCTGACTGCCCCCCCCCGGCCACCGCGGCCCCCCCCCCGGGCTCTGACTGCCCACCCTGGCTCTGACTGCCACCCCCCGGGCTCTGACCGCCCCCCCCCGGGCTCTGACCGCCCCCCTGGGCTCTGACCGCCCCCCCCCGGGCTCTGACTGCCCCCCCCCGGGGCTCTGACTGCCCCCCCCAGGCCACTGTGGGCCCCCCCGGCTCTGACTGCCCCCCCCCGGGCCATCGCAGGCCCCGGGTTCTGACTGCCCCCCCGGGCCACCGCGGGCCCCCCCTGGGCTCTGACTGCCCCCCCCCCCCGGCTCTGACCGCCCCCCCCCCGGGCTCTGACCGCCCCCCCCCCCCCCCCCCCCCCCCCCCCCCCCCCCCCCCCCCCCCCCCCCCCCCCCCCCCCCCCCCCCCCCCCCCCCCCCCCCCCCCCCCCCCCGGTTCTGACCGCCCCGCTTCCAGTGGTGCAGGAGGTGGTGTCCCGCTTCCCGCCCGTGGCCCAGCAGCAGCTGCTCCTGGCCGGCCTCCCTGCCGGCAGCACCCAGTGCGTCAGCTGCGCCGTGGTGGGCAACGGGGGCATCCTGAACAACTCCCACGTGGGCGAGGAGATCGACCACCACGACTACGTGTTCCGGTGAGCCCCCCTCACCCCGCCCCAGCCTCTCCTGCAGAGCCCGGCTCTGCACATCGGCCCCGGACCTGTGGAGGGCACTCTCCAGCCCTCGTCCCCCCAGGGGAGGGCACTCCCTCCAGCCCTCACCTCCCCAGGGGAGGGCACCCTCTCCAGCCCTCGTCCCCCCAGGGGAGGGCACTCTCTCCAGCCCTCGTCCCCCCAGGGGAGGGCACCCTCTCCAGCCCTCGTCCCCCCAGGGGAGGGCACCCTCTCCAGCCCTCGCCTCCCCAGGGGAGGGCACTCCCTCCAGCCCTCACCTCCCCAGGGGAGGGCACTCCCTCCAGCCCTCACCTCCCCAGGGGAGGGCACTCCCTCCAGCCCTCGCCTCCCCACAGCAGCTCCCTCTGCGCCGGCCGTCTGACCTCTGACCTCTGACCTGTCCCTCGCACAGGCTGAGCGGCGCCCTCACCAAGGGCTACGAGCAGGACGTGGGCACGCGGACCTCCTTCTACGGCTTCACCGCCTTCTCCCTGACGCAGTCCCTGTACCTGCTGGGCAGCCGCGGCTTCCTGCATGCGCCGCTGGGGGAGGTGAGGGGGGTGGCCTGGCCGGCGGCCCCCGGAGGGGGCGCCCAGGGAGGGGGCGAGCATCCCGGGAAGCTGTGGCCGCACAGGATCGCACAGGCTCCGCTCACAGGGAGGGGCGGGGCGGGCAGGGGGACCAGGCCTGGGAGCCGCACGGGGGCTGCAGGCAGAGCCGGGCCCCAGCCCCGTCCTTGGTCCCAGGACGTCCGCTACCTGCACTTCCTGGAAGGCTCCCGGGACTATGAGTGGCTGGAGGCGCTGCTCCTGAACCAGACGTACAAGACAGGCAACCTCTTCTGGTTCAGGTACCGTGTGTGCGGGCATGTGTGCATGCATGTACTTGTGTGTGCGTGTGCATGCACGTGTGAGTCTGCGTGTGCATGTGCGTGCGTGTGCGTGTGCGTGCAGAGCAATGGCGGGGCGCCAGGCCCGGGCGGGAGCAGACGGAGCGGTGACCCCCTGCCGCAGGCACAGGCCGCGGGCGGCCTTCCGGGAGGCGCTGCGGCTGGACCGGTACCTGCTGCTGCACCCGGACCTGCTGCGCTACATGAAGAACAGGTGGGCCGGCGCCCGGAGGGGGGGCGGGTGTGCGCGCCCAGCAGCCTCTGACGGGGCGGGCGGGCCTGTCCAGGTTCCTGCGGTCCCGCACGCTGGACACGGCGCACTGGCGGATCTACCGGCCCACCACCGGCGCCCTGCTGCTGCTCACCGCCCTGCAGCTCTGCGACCAGGCGAGGCGCGGGCGCCCGGGGCGGGGGCGCGGGCGCGGGCGCCCCGAACCTGGCGGGGAGGGGAGGGGAGGGCACCCCGGACCTGGCGGGGAGGGGAGCGGAGGGGCACCCCGGCGCGCACAGACCCGAGAAGAGGCCGGGAGCGACGGGCCCTTCCTCCTCCTCCCCTCCAGGTGAGTGCCTACGGCTTCATCACGGCCGGCCACGAGCGCTTCTCCGACCACTACTACGACCGGGAGTGGAGGAGGACCGTCTTCTACGTCAACCACGACTTCCGCCTCGAGAGGGCGCTCTGGAAGCGGCTGCACGACGAGGGCATCATCCGGCTGTACCAGCGCCCCGAGGCGCCCCCGCCGCGGGCCTGAGGCCCCGGAGGCCCGGCCCCAGCCGGGAGGGGACGCCGTCCGTCCATCCGTCCGTCCGTCCGTCCGTCCGCACCCCGAGGCCCGCCCTCAGGCGGCCGTGACTGGCGTTGGTTGGGAGAGCCTGGAAAGTGGCGGAATGTTCCGTCCCAGGATGGGGAGGACAAGGGCCTTTCTTTTATTTTTCCTTCTTTAAATCCTCGCCGGAGGGTATTTCCCATTGATGGTCAGGGAGAGAGGGGGAGAGAGGGAGCCAGAGAGAAGCATCGATGTGAGAGAAGCACGTCGGTTGGTTGCCTCCTGCATGAGCCCTGACCGGGGCCCAGGCCCGGGAGGAGCCTGCCACCGAGGTTCGGGGCCTTTGTTCGGATTCGAACCCGGGACCCTTCGGTCCGCAGGCCGACGCTCTATCCACTGAGCCACACCGGATAGGGCAGGGCTCCCTTCTTGAGACGGAGGAATTTTAAGTGAACCGATATCCGCTGAAAACCACGCTCCCTGCAGAAGCTGTGGGCAGAGACAGGAGCGGAGGGATGGGAACGCGGGTGTGAAGTCCGGTCTCTTCGCAGCGGGGAAGCCTGGAGGCGCTCAGTTCACTGCGGACGTCCGGGCGGTGGGTCCTGGCCGCAGCCCTGGCTGCAGTGGCCCTCGGGCCTTCCCCTCAGAGCGGAATAAACACGTGACCGCCGTGGCCGGCCAGCCGGCGCGAATGAATCACCATTATACCTCTTTTGTTTTTGCAAAAAACCACGCTTTGGGGTGTGCTGCAGAATTCCAGTCGCTCGCGTATGGGAGCCCTGAGATGAAGAGGGTTGAGGGCCGCTGGGGTTCTCTGAGCAGCCATCTTGTCTTTGGGCTTTGGGGTGGGGGAGGGGAACTGGGGATAAAAAAAGTCTTGTCCACGGAGATGCAAATACATGTTGTACGACAGAGACACGGTGGCTGTCCCCGTGGGTAGTGGCCCGATTTGTACAGTGGAGACACTGATAACTGTCCCCACGGGTGGCGGTCCGTGTTGTACAATAGAGACATGGGTGGCGGTCCGTGTTGTACAGTGGAGACACGGGTGGCTGTCCCCGTGGGTGGTGGTCCATGTTGTAAATGGAGACACGGGTGGCTGTCCGTGTTGTACAGTGGAGACACGGGTGGCTGTCCCTGTGGGTGGCGGCCGGTTTGTACCTGTCAGTAAACACGCCTTAGCGTCTCGTTGGGCTCTGGCACGTGTGCGTGTGCTTTGGGCTCCCCTGGGAACCAGCGTTCACACCTTCCCGTCCCCTCTTTCATGAATCACAGTCTCCCCTGTGAGAAGCACCCCTTACCCCTTTCTGAGGGGCCTCTAGTCTGCAGCGTGGCTCCCAGGGCGTCCATGTCACAGGTTTTTAATAACCGCTGCGCGAGCACATCTGACGAACCAGGAACTCCTGTCATTCTCCCATCCTCCCCGCACGCTCTCAGCCCCCACCGGGAGACTGGGCTAACCCAGAGTCATTTCCGTCACCTTCACTGGGCCCTAGCTCCAGGACTGGACTCTGAAGCCCAGAGCCCCAAGGAGCTAAACAGAATTTCTACCCGCAGCGCCCAGAGGACTGGCTTGCTTTGCTGGGAAAGGGTGCAGTACCAGCGCAGGGCGGTAGGTGGCAGCATCTCGGCGCACCATTCTCTTTAATGCCCAGCTTTTTTTGCTTTTTCCCCCCAGGTGTTCCCAGTTCTTTTTTCTTTCTTTTTTAAATGTATATTTAAAAACACATTTTTATTGATTTCAGAGAGGACGGGGCACTCCACCCCCCTCACCCCTGGAAGCCAATGCCCCTCCCCGGAGGGTGCAACGGCCCTGCCGGTTGCTTTAGGTCAGGACAGTCTGTGGTGGGACCTGCCCTTGGGTCGCCTTCACCTGAGACCCAAGGTCGTCTTCATTGGGCGCAGCCCCTCCGGCTCCAGGTATCTCCTGAGGAGCCTCCTGCCGTCACCCACCTGCCCGCCATGCCTCAGGCGCTGCCCCCCCTCCTGGGGCCTCTGCCCCCCACGGCTGACTACTCCTGGGGTAAGCTTAGCACCTCTAACCACACCTCCCTTTGGGGCACGCAGCCTCACCCTGTCACCAAGCCCTTCTTTCCTACGACAACTGTCACCCAGAAACACATGCCGGACGCTTTCTCGGACTCTCACCAGTTTGAAATAAAACCTTCACAGGGACACACAGTTCAGAGAGAGCAGTTTTCGCACTAAATAGCTCCTGCCCTTTCCCTCGACCCAATCCAGCCTGGACCAGGAGCCCGAGGGCCATCGAACCCCAGGCCTCTTCCCACCAGGAGTGAACTAGCAAGAATTCAAAAGTCTGGACCTAGCTGGTGTTGCTCAGTGGATAGAGCATCATCGTCCTGTGGACTGAAGAGTCCCGGGTTCGATTCCAGTCAAGGGCACGTGCCTGTGTTTCAGGTTCGACCCCCAGTAGGAGGCGTGCAGGAGGCAGCTGATCAATGATTCTCTCTCATCGATGTTTCTAACTCTCTATCCCTCTCTCTTCCTCTCTGTAAAAAATCAATAAAATATATATTTTTTTAAATCAATAAAATATATATGAAAATAAATAAATAAAAACAAAAATGAAACCTCCAGCGCCCCATGCCTGGGTGCCGGCGCCATGTGGGTTCCAGACGCCCTCACAGATTTCTGGCCGTCACCCCTGTCAGCTCGTACGTGCCTCCTTCCGTGACCCTAACAGACGTGACAGGGTCAAGTACCACTCGGCCTCGGCCGCACTTCCTGCTCGCCCTGCGCTGCTGCCCAGAGCCTCGCTCAGCGGGTGTGGCTCTGGCTGCGGGGCGGGGCGCTGGGGGTGTCTGAGGTTCAGGGGAGAGTGGGTGACGGGGTGGTGGTGCTGCAGAGGGCGGGAGGGTGGGGCTTGCTCTGGGGAGACTGGCAGCGGTCCCCGCCTCTCGCCCGGCCCAGCTGCCAAGGTCAGGTCCAGGCACCAGACACGCCAGAGCGTGTGTGCCCTGTGCTCAGAGCTGTTTGCCACACATGTGCCTCGTCACGTCCTGGGCAGGGGCACCAGCGGGGGGGGGGGGGGAACCAGGCGGCGGAGGCCTGTCCTGACCCTGCACTTACACATGTACATGCACACGCACACGCACACGTACACGTCAGGCACCACAAGATCCCAGAGCAAACGGCACCCCCAGGGCATCCCCCCAGGGCACCCCCCCAGCTCCCACCACTCGGGGAGCTGGTGCGGGAGCAGCAGGCCCCGCACTCCTGGCGGGCGCCTCCGGTTGGGATCTAACTGGCTGTTTTGGGCGTCACCCAACGCCAGGGCGATGGCAACTCAGAGTTCGGGCGGAGGAGCTGCGCTCACACATCCCGCGGAGGATGCGGGTGGGAGAGGGGGCCGGCGGGCGGGGGCTCAGGCGGGTGTCTGCGGGGGCAGCGTCCAGACAAGCTGAGTGTGACCCGGAGCGTGCGGCGGGCACGCCACCTGTGGCCCGTGTGGGAATCACACGCACCCACGCAGCCCACAGACCTGCCCCGCCTCCGGGCGGGAAACGAGGGCGAGAGGGGCCATTCCTCCCCACCCCCCAGCCGCCCGGCCCCGCCAGGGAAAGGCAGCGCCCTGACCGCAGACCCCGCAGGCAGACCCCGCAGGCGCCGCTCCCGTCCCAGACCCGGACGCCCTCCTCCCGCCCGGGCCTGATGTTGCTCCACCTTCCGCTTGAGCTCCTCCAGGCCTCTTTCTGTTGAGTAACTTACTTCCTCTTTCTGCCTGTGTACCAATTATTTGGATTTCAACAAAGACTATCCTCTTTTTTCATATTGTCTAATAAAGCGTTTTCTTTAAAAAAAAACCAAAACAAAAAAACATGTGGTTTTAGCCCCAGAACACCTTGTGAATGTCCCACAGGATACAGGGGTCTTCAAACTACGGCCCGCGGGCCACATGCGGCCCGCAGAGGAGTCTGATCCGGCCCGCCAGGTTTTTTGGGCAGTGAGCGCAGCCGAGGTGTTACAGTAGGAATTAGTAGTTCATATAGTCCGGCCCTCCAGCTCTCTGAGGGACCGTGCTCTGGCCCCCATTTTAAAAAGTTTGAGGACCCCTGTGACCTAAAAGGACGGATCCTGCCGGTCAGGCTTCCCGGCCCCCCTCCGCCAGCGCCAGGGGCCGGTCAGGTGCTGCCGTGAGCCTCCCCGGTGTGCGCCCTCCTGCCCGCCCGCCCGCCCGCCCGGAGCTCTGCGCCCTCAGCACCCGGCCGCCGGCTCCTCTGTGTCTGACTGGGTGTGCTCAGGGGGTGGGGGTAGGGGTAGTGGCTGCAGCACCCCCACACACACACACCTGCCTCTCCCCCATTTCTGCCACCAGCTCTTTGAAGTCACGGCAGCCAGGGAGCCAGGGCCGGGCTTGGCGAGGACACCTGTGCCAGGGAGCCCGGGGGAGGCAGGTGAGGACTTGATTGTCTGGTGCGGAGTGAGGGGCTCCCCAGGGACCCCAGAGCAGCGCCCCGGCCGGGCACTCGGCCAGGAGCGGGGGCGGGCAGGTCTGTCCAGTCCCAGGCGGGCAGCTTCCCTTACCACACCCCATGTGCCCCCCCACCCCCCAATCTCAACCAGGTCCCCTTGTTTCCCCCCCTCCAAAGGCGGTCATGTGACCAGGCAGCTCGCCAGGCTGGGAGCTTGTCCCTGGAGCTGTCTGTCGGGGACAAGGCCATGTTGCTGCCACCAGGGATTGGCAGGAAGGCCTGTGCCAAGTGTTCGAACAGGAACTGGAGCAGCTTGGGTGGCCGTCCCCAGGGATGGATGGGAAAGCGGGGTGCTGTTCACCCGGGGATGGATGTGAAAGGGGGGCGGGGGGCTGTTCACCCGGGGATGGGAAGCACTCGCCGTGATAGGGCACGCGGGCGGCACAATGAGGGTCCCGTTTGTGAGGTTTGGGAACACCCACAGCAGGTTCACGTGAGGAATAGGGTTTTCTCTGAAGGGCACATGGCTGAGGGGCGATGGGGATGTTTTGGGGTAACGTTAAATCCGTTG